CACCGGCGCCCAGCGGCTGACACCTTTGCTTGGTGCGCATTATCAGATGACGCGAGTGCGCGCGGAGCTGCTGAAGCACTTGGAGAAGACGTTCGCGTGAGTTGGGTCCACGTTAGCCCACGCTAGGAAGTGTGCAACAACAACTAAAACAAACAGTTGACCAACCCAAACAGAGCACCCGTAGCCCGGCGCTATTGAGAGTGACCGGAGGTGTACTCGAGAGTCTCTTCCTAATACGTTGCCCTCGGGTTCGCTTAAAAAGCAGCTAGGACCTCAAATGGTGGTTGCAGGTGTAGTCCTGTTCAGCGCAACCGATAGCCTCTCCCAGCTCCTTTGTAGGCTTCCTATCGACCAATCAGCGCGCGTAGCCTGGAGGCCTTGGCCAATCACAAGCCGGCATGTCCAGGTTGCCAGGGGCACTGCCAAGCCTCGTGTCAAGGGTGAGAATATAAGAAAGAGGAGCGAGAGAACCACAAAGCACCACCAACCCAACACACGAACAACCCACCTTGACCTTGGCATGCTTGTGGCACGACCGACCACTCAGCACCACCTGTTCCCCGTGCGGACCATGATGAAGGACCAGCGCGGACCACGCGACGAGCACCACTGCGGCCTGCACCACCGCGGCTTCACACATCACGAGTTGATGATGCAGGAAGCAGACCATCGGCCTCGCTCCAAGTCCGCCATGACCACTTCGAACACGACCTCCTCTCAATGCATATGCCAGGAGGAGGAACTGGAGAGAGCGAAGTGGAGAGAGCTCAACGAGCTGTTGGAGCACTACATCAACTCTGGTCGCATGACTGGCCCCTGGCGAGAGCATTGGACCCACACGTACGCCCTCCCCCCTCTACTCCCCGCAGGTGTCACAGAAAGATGTTTGGCTGATGCACACACGCAGGTGGACTGTGGACGGTAACGCCATGCGCTTGTCCACCATGTCGCCCATCCCTGAAGAAGGCGAATGAGTTCCACCTCATTCACCACCTACTCCCACGTGGAGTTCCTGTACATGCCTGTAGAGCCGTTTTTTATCATTTATTTATTTGTTTATTTTTTTGTGCAATGTAATGTTCACTATCAACAATGTAGAGACGTTGAAGGGATGTATGTACACATTCCTTCTCTACCCTCTCGCTGCTCGGTCGCGAGGGACTTGCTATGTACAGAGATCGGTCGTCCATCGCGCCAAAAGGCCTCGAGACAGCCCTCCCGGCCGGGTCTGTCTCCCCAACCGCCCACACACGATCCACCTCCCACCATCTTCATCTTCCTATTCATCCCCTTCACCTCCTGAATACAGACACGACAATAAATACAGACACGCACACTCCACAAATGATCTCCTCCCACACCTGACCACCTGCACCAGCAGCGGCTAGACGGAGGAGAGTTGATATGTGGAGAGGAATGCAGTGTGTACCTATGGTCGAAGGGTCTCTCCGCCGACTCTCTCAGAAGGACCCGTCGAGCACGAACGAGCGGAAGAGAAGGGCGAAGGCGATGACGGCGACGAACTTCCAGTGATGGAGGTTGGCGTAGAGCACTCGGTAGAGCGTGTGGGCGGCGATGATGTGCAGCTTCACGCCGAACGCGATCATGCACGACGCGGCAGCTGCAGCTCCTACCCGCAACAGGAACGCCAGCAGCTGGGCCAGTTTGCCTGCTCGCATTGCGATCAACGCGATGAGAGGGACATGCTGCTGAACGTTACGGGTAAGAGGGGCAAGGGCACATGTGTACCGTTGCCGCTGGCAGCCTTGAAGCAGGACGTCCAGAAGGCGAGGAACTCCTCGGACCTGAGGGAGAGGTCGTACCAGTACCGCTTCTTCGAATCTCGCAGCGTTTCGAAGGCTGAAGATGGAGGCTGATGAGAAGATGCTTGCCTTCAAACGGCTGGGTACAGCACAAGGAGGTTGCGAGATAAGAACCTTCTGTCATTTCAATAAACTTGCGGTGGCCTTGAGACGGCTTTCCTCAT